CTAGTCTTTCACTGCTAAATTAGGGACGGCTAGCACAGATAGGCCTCGTGTAGCTTTGCGCGAAATTCAAAAACAAACAAACTATTTCAAAAGTATCATTCTATTACGATTATGGCAGGGCTGAAATAAATGCACGTTTTTTGTTAACAGTATCTGTTATAATACTAGGGTTTTGGACCTATTTTTTTTTAATTTATCGGTTGCTTTATCATCCACAAACTTGTTAGCGTGCAGATTATGGGTTTACCTTTTGATAGATAAAATTGAGTCGCAGGTTTTAGATTTATATTTTTGAGAGATTTGAAAAACACAAGTCTTAGCTCTATGTTATAAAGAGTTAAGCTATAGGTAGCAGTGACTTTACGGAAATTTCAGAACACAGTTAATATAAATATATATATATATATACATGTTTAACTATTTGATAATAAAGATCAGGACAAGTGTTAAAACTACAGATGCTGGGCACATTTTAAAAACTGAAGTTGGCAGTTCTGTAAATGAGAGATAATTGTTCTATGCTGCAGTTTATTCTAACCTGTATTTTTAAAATGGTCTTTGTTCAGTATTGTTCGTTCATAAATTACCCCCTTCATCAATCTGCCTTGATAAGATATGTTGTCTATTTTTGTTCAGTAAGATTTCTTAATTTTTCTCTCTCTATCTTAAATGGTGTTAGAAAAGTCCATAAAATCCGTTGAATGTTGTTTTCTTTATCTTTACTATATTTGACCCACAACACCAGTTGCTTTATGAGAAAAATATTTCCGATTCTGAGCTGTCCTTAGAACTATTTTCTCCATAGTCGACAGTGGTCAGTATGATGGCCATGAAACCGTTTTTCCCATTGTACAAAACTTCTATGAAATAAAACGAGGTCAACCTTACACTTTACACTTTGACAAACTTTTCACAGCCTCTCCTCTGTTCGTGCATGTTACCTTTCAAGACTCAGCTTAATTAAGCAGACCAAAAGCGTAAACATTTATTGGACTTGCATCGAGGAACCTAACAAGAATGAGCCTTTGCCTATTTCACATTCTTGCCTGTTATCTTGTTAATTGTATCAGGAGATACGCCTAAATTCATCATAATGGCGTTTGGCTCAGTATGTTCTCTTTCTGACCACAGCTTTCATTTTGTGGATGAGCACTCAGAAGTGGCTTTGGGTGTAGTTCTTCACTTCCAAGAAGAACATTACAGGCTCTTTTCTTCAAAACGTGGAGCCCTTTGTCTCTACATTATTTAACGATTTCACTACATGCATTTCTTTCTTTGGGGGGAAGTGTTATATATATGCACTTCCATCTATAAAGCTATCTACTTATGGTGACAGTACATTGTTAAATTTTCTGGAATTCTCCACGAACCAAATAAAAGTACTAGATATAGCTCGCATCTATTACATGCAAATCGTTCTTATAAAATAAAATTAATGTTCTGTTTAAGTACCACTACATATTACTGAAGGCACTAATCGCTAGCACAACTATTTCTTACTGTATTTCTATCTTTGAATTCTACTTGAACTTCGTTTATAAACGAACATTGGTACTCAGTTTATGAGCACAGAGTTTTATCTTCTCGTTATCATCTATTCCTTATGTAACATTTCTTGAGATAATTATCTTGGATTTTTCCTCTCTTTTCAATGTCATCTAGAAAAAAACATACAACAACAACAAAAAAACATTAAAAAACAAGCCTAGAAAAACGACTATTCAGATTCTCATGCAATGTTTTCTTATTGGAACCGTGAACAATAAATGTACGTGGGTGTAGAATACGTGGTGATAAATCAATGAATAAGATTCACACAGTTTATAGAGTTTACATTAAAAAATGAAGCCTGTACTTTGCCTAGGTGTTGTGTGTAAGATTCTTGGAAGAAAAGGATCTTTGATTCATCTAAGTGTTACGAAAACTTCATAGTTTGTAAAAGTAGCTGGAGATAGAAACGTGAACTTGTGGTTAGATAGAATGTGTTTTAGGTTCAAGATTTACTTTAAGAACAAACCAATTTTAATATTCAGAAAAATGTATTTAAAAAAGTATTGATTTTGACAGTAAACCTAATATTTGACTTCCACTGATAAATTAGTTCAGTCTAACATTAGCTCAGGGTTATGTAGAAGCTAATGAGATATCTTAAGTGTTAAAATATGCGAATATCTTAATTTCTTCAACACTTGTGTACATTAAACGTTATTAAAACATAAACTTATTACAAAAACAAATATATACATTTTTAGAGAAACGGAATTATTATAGAAGCAAACTGAACTACCCATCTCAAAAGTATTCTGGCCCAGCATGGCCAGGTTGTTAAGGCGCTTAACTCGTGATCTGAGGATCGCGGGTTCAAAACCCCAGCCCACCAAGCATGCTCGCCCTTTCAGCCGTGGGGGCGTTATAAAGTGACGGTCAGTCCCATTATTTGTTGATAAAAGAGTAGCACAAGAATTGGCGGTGAGTGGTGATGACTAGCTGCCTTCCCTCTAGTCTTTCACTGATAAGTTAGGGACGGCTAGCGCAGATAGCCCTCGTGTAGCTTACGCGAAGTTCAAACCAATCAGTTTAACGTATTCTAACCCCAGCTAACGCTAGCAATGCATAAAACAGTAGTTTTATAGCACCCTTAGACAGTGTTTCCCAAATGATATTTAATAACTTACTCATATAATCTGATAAAAATATTTGACATACACAAAAATAGCCAAGTTAAAAGAAACTGGCCAGCCATATAAAGTTGTGCTATAAAAATGCCTAGTTATATAAAAGGGTAAACCCGGTAAATATGTAAATACGAAAAAATTGGAGAAAATGTGGTCCAATTTTTTTATTGCAACTGGAACATGGATATAAAAAGGGGCAAAGTGTTCACTATTTTCTTGTTGTTTAACTTACCGTTTTTACATTACATCTTTAAGAGGTTTCCTCTTTTATATAGCCTTATCTTTTTTCATATTGTATCTTTATATGACTGACCTCTTTATTCTATTTCGGCCGTTTTTGTACATATATAAAATGTTGTGATTACATATCTCTACTTTTGTTTTAATTCTTCTTTTAAAACAAAATTCCACCCGAAGTAATATCATAGTCTTAGATCACTTCGACATTTAAAACCTTCCACGTGTTCCTAAAGCCACCACTGTCAGCCTAATGGCTGTGGAGAGCAATTCAGAGTTAAAATTATAAAAAGTATTCATAAAAACATTAATATATGAGCTATAGCAGAATGGTGTTTTGTTCCGGTCCCCCTTTGTTTAATTACATCATTTTCCTATTTAATAAAGAGATTTAAAATGAGGAGAATTTTACCACTGCTTGACTATTTATTTCTATCAGTCTAAAACAGATATGAAGCTGGTTTTTGAATATGAAGTAAGATTATTTATATCTGTTCAGAAAGAATATTAGTGGCATTCCAGCATTTTGAATAGTTGTGGCAATATCCCAGATTTGGCCAAAAGTTCTGCTCCTGGATCACGGAAGTGGTGCTCAGCCTTCATCATCGTGACTCTAGATTTAAAGAAAAATTAACAGTGTCCAAAAGTTTTATTAAAATTGACAAAAAAAAAAAAAACATAACGTAACGTAACATGTATAAAGCCACTTGCTTAAGACCTGAAAGAGATAAAATTGCAACTGTTTTTCTTGATCTTTGTAGCATTCGACTGTTTATTTGTCTTTAAAAAAAACTAACTAAAAAAACATTAAGAGTGATGAATTTCTACAGACATTTTGTCTTGTTATCCTAAGTCACTTGACCCCCTTCCAAACTCAAGTCAGTTACAAAATATGGCTTTAAAAGGTACCTGCTGCAAGTCTCTTCCTCCTTAAAAGTAACTGTACCAACAACATGAAGCTGGAAATGAAATAGAAAAACAATATTCATTGCTCTACCCCACAATCTTCGTTCCTAAGTAATTGATCTCATAGGACTATAAAGGTCTTCATTCGTCACGATGTCCGAAAGTTTAAGAACGACGATTTGATTTATTAGTGTACGTAGAAGAGGCTCGCTAGCAATTTGGAAGTCATCATCAAACAGACTTCTACAGTGTATTAAAGTTCCTTCATCTTGATTACAGCACTCTTCACCTTCATTACTACACCCTTCACCTTCATTACAACACTCTTCACCTTCATTACAACACCATTCACCTTGATTACAACAATCTTCACCTTCATTACAACACTCTTCACCTTCATTACAACACCATTCACCTTGATTACAACACTCTTCACCTTCATTTCAATACTCTTCACCTTGATTACAACACTCTTCACCTTCATTACAACACCATTCACCTTCATTACAACACCATTCACCTTCATTACAACACTCTTCACCTTGATTACAACACTCTTCACTTTCATTACAACACTCTTCGCCTTCATTACTACACCCTTCACCTTGATTACAACACTCTTCACCTTCATTACAACACCCTTTACCTTCATTACAACACTGTACTTAAATGTTATTTTAAATTAAACACCTTTTGTTGGCCTACATTAACATATGTGGTATAAAGAAAAACAACCTTATTCAAATTCGTCTTTTCAATATTCAACCCAGTTTTAATAAAGTTTCATTCCAATTTAAGCCCTACAATATTTACTGATTAGAAATAAAACTTTCTCGACAGCTTAAACACTTATTCATACTACATATTAAGTTAACAGCCTTAAGTTAACTAAGGATATGCAAGTTTTACATATGCTGGAAAACACTGCGTCGTATTTTTTATTAAATTTGTTTCTAGTTGCATACACAGTTTTCCAAACAGCTACTAAAAACAACAAATCGTTTAACCAAACAAGAATTTCCAACTGTTATTATTTTATTGTTGCAACACGGGTATCGTAATATTAGGAATTACCGAGATAGCAAGTATTTTTTGCATTGCCTTCATGTTTACACAACCAAAGTAGCCTATAAGGCTTGGCCATGTAATCATTATACCACGAAGCTAGTCAGTCTGAAAAACAAAACAATGTTTCTTCACTACACTTGGTATAACTTTATTGTACTTTCAAAACTATCCAATTACCTCGCAATACGTGCATGAAAGTTAAATTACATTATAACAGTGCTATCTGTCGATTTTATTTTCCTTTTAATGCAAGAGTAATTCTCAAGAAATTCAAAAATACATAAATCACTGCTTGTTCAGTCTCAAACTAATTGGCTGAGTACAGCGAAGTTGAGTAAATTGTTTCTGGGGAAATCTGATGCTTGTAGTTGTACACCTCAACTTTTTTCAGCTCATAAGTACATAAGGTATGTTACGAAACTCGTAAAGTAATTCCCGTGATGATTTATGTTTTTAACTCCACACTTTTTCTGTTACAACCGTGAACAAAATACAGTTTGAATATGCCCATTACACAAAGATATATATTTTCTTTAGATTAATTATTTTTTGAGATATTTTGGTAACAGACAGGGGATATAAGTGTGTCGATACTTCAGAAGTCTGACACCAACAGGTCTGGCATAGCCTGGTGGTTAGGGCTCGCAATGTGCAAGTCGAGGGGCCCCTTTTAGCCATGGGGGTGTTGTAATGTGACACTCAATCCCACTATTCGTTGGCAAAAGAGTAGCCCAAAAGTTGGCGGTGGGTGATGTTGACTTGCTGCCTAATCTACCTTCTAATCTATCACTTAAGGACTGCTATCACAGATAGCCCTCAAGTAGCTTTGCGCGAAAATCATCAGTTAAACAAATTGATGTCAACAATAATAATCCAGGTGATTTCAGCATCAGAGAACCTGTCTACTTGTGAAAAATAACTATAATTGCTCGCAGAAAAAGTTATTAAAGAACACTTGTTTCGAATTCATGAAATTAAGAGTAATATTAGATATTTATTACATAACATCATATATATATATATCTTACTGCTAACACTTTTTCCTGTCCAGTTCTATTGTTATTTCATCCCAGTTTTCATATCATATAAGTCTTAACATATTTTCTCATTCCACCCCGTTTTATTTTCTGGAAACTCCAGCTAACTAGGGGAAAATAATATCATCGTTGTAACTTCATTTTAAATGCTGAAAGCAAAACCAGCAATGTAATTCATTTATTGTTTTTGTATTTTTTATTTGTTTTAGTTGTTGTCAAACTGGAATTCAATAGTAATTATGTAACCCTTACAAATTATAACTATTCATAGGCTTAAGATACTCAAAATTATCTTAAATTAACTTAAATTTTCAAAGCAAAAGTTTTAAGTAAATTAGTTCTGTTATTTTAAGTTTCAAACTCGACCTAGAAGTAATCAAAGGCTTGATTAAACAAAGAAAAAAAGGAACAAAACGAACTATATGTCCAAGAAACGATTTAAAAAAAAAAAACCTTTCATATGATTAATCCTCATATACGTAAGTATTGAAATGCATAATTTATAACTTGTTTTAAATAAACAGACGTACAAACATTAATTTCGCACACTGGATCTCTTATTCTTAGATTTCGTGTTTCCTGGAGCTCTTAGCAACTTAACTGTTTGAATGTACTTCCGAAAGTTCTGTTTCTTTTTTTGTGTCAAACATTGGCGTTAGTGTTGAAATTTGTTTGTTTTTATTTAAGCACAAAGCTACACATTGGGCTACCTGTGCTCTGCCCACCACGGGTATCGAAACCCGGATTCTAGCGTTGTAAGTCCGCAGACATACCGCTGTGCCACTGGGGGGCAGTGTTGAAATAGCATTTGAAAATGACATAAAGATATCTGATTGTTTTATTTCGAAACTGTACGTTTATGTGATACACACAAAAGCTACTACGTTCCCAATCATCAATGTTATAAGTTAGCCATAAAACATTTATGGAAACATTACAGGATTTGGTATTTTTAATCTGAATAGTAGTTTAAGATTCAGGCATAGCCGTCCTTAATTTAGAACTTGAAGGAATTCAGCCAGTCAGTAACATCCACCGCCAACGTGAATACTCTTAACTGAATATCGGGATTGACCGCCACCTTTGTAGAATACCAAAAACTGAAAGTGCTAAGACTGTTCAGTAGGCTTCTGATCCTCAGCCTAGCACACTAATCACTAGCCAAAACCCGACAACAACCATTACAGAGAGAAAAGGCTTAGCATCCCCGTAACTGACAGTGTATAAAGCTATTAATTAAAGTTGAAACTTTAAGTTATTCACTCAAGCTTCGGGTTTTCTTAAATTCAAATATTGAAAAACATGCACATTTGCGAAGCGAATGATTTTAAAGTGAAACTTTACCAAATGTGAATATTAATCGTTTTTTTTTATTCAGTGTTTACTGTCTTTATCCAGTACGTCACTGATTTGTGATAACGCAAATAATACATAATAAAGTCATTAAATCGCATATAGTCTTGTTCCACAAACCAAACCATTTTCTACGACGTATTTTTGATTTAAAAAAGCATCTAGTTATCTATTCTTCGTTAGCGAACGTAATAGAAAGTGTGCGTGGGTTGACTTTCAATTATGATAGAGGAAACTTTCAATTATGTTGTAGCATCTTGTTGAAGCTGTTGACGTTCAAGATGCGATTACGGACAAAAAATAAGTAATAACAAAATGCTTCAATTATTCAGTAAGTTTCTCTTTAGAAACACATTACACACCTTTTTTTTTCAGACATATTATTTTTACATGAACAATTATAACTGCACCATTATCATTGGTTGGTACGTTGAATACTAGAATATTCATGAATAACAATTCGATTTAGGGACTCAACCTGCTTATTGTTAAAGTTAGGATTCAGTTTGAGATGTAAGAAAACAACTTTCCTTTGTTAGATAACAATATTTATAAAGAAAGATGTCGTAAACAACCATTGCAGTATAAAGAACATGTTTCGAAATGAGAATACACATTAAACCAGTTTTTGTTCGAGAACAGAAAATATATATACAGCATAACAGATTTTTTTTTTTTTACAAGATGTCTTCTAGTTTTTCGAATGGTTATTGTAAATGATCATCGTAAAAACATAATTTTACCATCATATGAAATTCGAATAAAGTCAAAACTTAAAATGAATTATGAACACTGCAGTTATTGAGCTTAGTACGAATGGAATAATAAAGGTTTGAATTTCATGAAAAATCAACTAAAACTACAAATGTTATTATAAAAGCCCCCACCACCACCACCCCCAGAGGCTCAGCGGTAAGTTAGAAAGCTTATAACGCTACAAACCTGGTTTTGGTACCCGTGGTGGTCACAACACAGATAGCCCATTGTGTAGTTTTGAGCTTAAAAGTAGAAAGCGAAACGAAACGAACCATTCTAAAAATGTAGTTAACAGCTAAAGAAAAAGAAACACAAACAGAAAACTAACAATATCCTTGCTCACCCACAAAACTTTCGAGTTGAAACGGATTGTTTTGGTCGGTTTTAAATTTTGCACATAGCTAGCTACATGAGGGCTATCTGCGCTAGCCGTTTCTAATTTAGCAGTGAAAGACTAGAGGGAAGGCAACTAGTTATCACCACCCACCGCCAACTCTTGGGTTACTCTCTTGCCAACGAATAGTGGGATTGACCGTCACAATATAACGGTTTAAAAGAAATTGCTCAAATTTACTGAGGTTTGAATGAGAAAAAAGAAGGGAAAATATAAATTGTTAAGTAAATCTAACTTCTCTATAAACCCACCACTAAATTTTTATAAAAAAGTTAAAGGTTATCAATTATCAATATTATTTGTGGGATATTTGGTTATAAAGGGCAAAAACGCTAGGATTTGTGTTTGCATGTTTGAAGTTAAGCACAACGCTACACAATAGTCTATCTGTGCTCTGCCCACCGTGGCTATCGAAACCCGGTTTCTAGCGTTGTATTTTGTGTGTTTATAGTTAAGCACAAAGCTACACAAAGGGCTAACTAGCGTAGTAAGTCCGCAGACGTCCCGCATGTTTTGTCGTTTAGACTAAATTGTTGAATTTATTTCGGATTTTAGAAGAATGCTTAGGAACACCAACGAACTACGTATATGAAAAACAACAACACTTATTTGCATTTATCAAGGTAAGAAGGGATAAAAACGGCAAATTTGAAAATACAACTTGTCATTTTTAAGCCTCTACATTTTAAACGAAAGCAGGAATTTCAATTAAAATATCAAACAAGTGGGAATCCTCAATAGCCGCGGTATTTGAAATTCTTTTCGGCAGGAATAGAGTAAATTAATCTATGAGATTTTTTTATCAGCTATATTTTTGTGCGCTAGAAATATCAAGCGTGGGGCGCCCGTATACCCGATTCGATTTTATTACTCATCAGGATCTCTACCAGCCTACCATCAAATTGAATTTTTTTAAGGAAGATTAGAGTAAATTAATCTATGAGACCTTGGACGTAGTCAAATATATCAATCGAAAGGGTTTGATCCCCTGAGTCCAAAACTGTAATTAGAGCTCAAATTGGCCAAGAGATGACGGAACTATGAGCTAAAAGTTTGTACTTGAAAAACTCAGAGCCATTCTATGAGCCGCTATGCCGCGGCTTCAAAACAACTAGTAAAATGAAGTAATATTTCAATGAAAAGTAATGGAAGAGCAGCGATATCTCTTTCTAAGTTTCAAAAATTGAAGATCGCTAATTTTATGAATTTAAAACAGCACTCCCAGTTGAAAATAACTTAATCTTATTAATACATAAAATGACAATATCAGTAATCTCTATTTCAAGTTATTTTTAAAGTTGAATCGAAGTTTGGCATCATTAATTGTATAAAAACCATGATCTCTGTCTTAAATAATTCAAAACTGCAGATTAATAGCATCAAAAAAGAAGTCGAAATAGTCTTATTTTCTAGAATTGGACAAGAAAAAAAAAGCAGAATAATAAAGAAATTCTACCAAAATATGTCCAGGGATGAGACAGTAAAACAAAGAGAGGTTTAACTGCTGAAGATTAACATTAGTAACACAATAGGTTACAAAACAGATATGAAAATATTATATAACGAGCGTATAGTCCGTCCAAAATTACGGGGCAAGTACTATTTACCCCACCACATAGTATACCCTAACCTCACATATCATAGCTAACTGAAATAAGGCAGTCAAACGTCGATAAGTTCTTTTGTGAACCAATCAAAATTAAGATCATTCATGAAATGAATTAGTGGCGTATTCGTAGGATAATTATTGGTAAAAATCATTTAGATTAACAACTCCTAATATATAGAAAAGCCAGTGCGTTTTGCTAACACTACGTTTCAACAATGGCTTTTATGTATGACCTAATATCGTTGTTAGTCTATGTGCTGAAAGTATAAAATGAAAGTGACAATAGAAGTGAAAAAAATTATTGACTTCTAAATTTAGAGGCTTCGTTGATTAAAGAGGTTTGTTTTTTATTCAAAATGTTGGTGATATAACAGAAAACAGATTAATTCAGAAACTATTTAAGTTTAAAATTGAATCGATATTTTTACTTTAGGCTTATTATATCAACACTCACTACACTTACAAGGTTTCATGGCACCCCCCCCCTCACGGCACCCTTGAATCCTCGTCACTAAAATCGTAATGGACAAACAGTAATCGAACTACTCTATCTAGATAAATGCATTTTGGCTTTTATGGTTTCGCCTATTTCGAAAATAAAAAATAAAATCAAGCGTGACGAAAAACACAGTGACTTCTACATAGGTTAGATTAAAGTTCGAACGCTGAGGACTAGAGTAAGATGAAAATCCTTTATGTAAGCGTACCTGAGACAAGACTTTTTTATCGTACCATTCGTTTATATAAACGTTTTAAAGTATTGTAAGCAGAAGCCGCGGGATGTTATTCACAACTCATCACTTATTCCCAAAAGAAAATAACAAGGAGATGAATAAATTAAGCGACCCATATACTATATTTTCTGTACATCCAACGCTCTTTAAGCCTAATGCGTCAGAACTTGACTTTCATTATAATATTTTTGAAAAATTGTTACTTTTTTTTAAGGACTTATATTTGTTATTGTATTTCTTATTCTCCAAAACTCACGTGTTCTTGAATCGGGAATTTTATAAATGTGGGACACTCCTTTGCAGTTTTGTGCACTGAAAAAATCACACTAATTTTTATTGGCATTTTACTTCTTTCGAATCGACTGCATGAGACAGACATTTTAACTTAGCCGCCATTTAAATCAGAAATATGAAAGGTGTAAATTTGTATTTATGTACTGACACACTGTGGTAAAATATAGTATTTATATAAAACACTTTCAACAAAACAGCTTGATTTAAAGTTTGCCTATTTTTAATTCAAAAGATACCTGAACTTGCATTATATCATAAGCAAACAGTAACCTGTGTATTAACTTTGCTGTGTGTGGAATTACAGTTTGTATATATATATATATATTTATAAGTATTTATTATACATATATATATATATATTTATAAGATTTATTATACATATATATATATATATTTATAATATTTATTATACATATATATATATATTTATAAGATTTATTATACATATATATATATATATTTATAAT